CAGATTTTTAATCCATAATTATGGTGTTTGTGAACTTCTTTCCGCATCTCTATTGTTAAGAAACAATATTATTTCGAATGTCATTATATTAATTTCGTCGCGATAATTTTGCGCTTTATGCAATTTGGAAAATGACACTATTGATGCATCAATGGTTATGTGATTGTGGTCCTCATAAATTAAGTGCATTTTTAGTACACATCATTAGATCGTATCTTATTCTTATTTTTTAATAATATGTGGTATCGTTTAATCTACTTATCAAATGTGTCTTGATTACTTCACAATTCTTACTCGGTAACTTGGAATAGCTCGAACATGGGTCGTTAATAGTTTCTAAATATATATAGGACATTAAATTGTAGCTCCTTAATTTATCATAAAAACAAAATTTTAAAATCGAATTAAAATTCAGTACTATCATTTCTATATGTTACGAAGTTAAACAAGGGTCATGCTAAACTTTGCTAGTCTTAAATGTAAACTATGATAATTGAAAAGATGATACTAACGATAAAATAAAATAATTTACACTTATGTTGCTTGAACGGGGTTTGGGGATAGGCTTTTGACAGGTGCTATGCTGGTAGCACTTGTGTGGCTCTTATTTTTTCCCAAACTGTCTAATGAAATATTGACACGTGTCTTCCTAATTTTAAATCTTGTCACTCATAACAATCTCAATAATTTATAATTAAATTAGGGTTCTCTAATTTTGACAACGCAGCACTTGTGTGGCCCCTTTTATTTTATTTTTTTTTCTTTTTCTTTTTCTTTTTCGTCCTCTCCAAACTATCCAATAAAATATTGACAAGTGTATTTTTAAATTTTAAATCTGATCACTCTTAGCAATCTCAATAATTTATAATTAAATTAGGGTTCTCTAATTTTGACAACGCAGCACTTGTGTGGCCCCTTTTATTTTATTTTTTTTTCTTTTTCTTTTTCTTTTTCGTCCTCTCCAAACTATCCAATAAAATATTGACAAGTGTATTTTTAAATTTTAAATCTGATCACTCATAGCAATCTCAATAATTTATAATTAAATTAGGGTTCTCTAAATTTGCGCCGTCCAATGTGCTTGACTAACAAGAAAGTCAATTAAGAGCTATGAGATGTAACAATGCATCGACATCACGTTGCTTTCAGGCCAGCTCAGTTGGGAGCTAATGAAATGACAAGGTAATATTCTTCAACAGTTATTATTAATTATTTAATTTAGACATTAAATGCC